TTTTTTTTTTTTTTGCTCGAGGTTTTTCGGAGGGCAAAAATGATGATTGTGGGGATACATGAGAATCTTTGGTTTTGGGCTGAAATGAGGAGAAAATTGGCGTAATCCCGAAGACGAAAACGAACTTTCAGTGGGGGAGGCAGGGGGGGGGGGAGGGAGGGGGAGGGGGATCTCACATTTTGGGGGAAATTTCTCTGAGGCGCTTGAGAGACTGGGACGCAGAAATACATCATTTATTTAAAATTGCTTTTAAAAAAATTAATTGGGATTTGAGCTTCACGCTCGAAGAGACACGAAACGCGAGAGAGAATCACGCCAAACTCGCACGTGAGAAAGCACGTAAAAATAAGATGCTGTCTCAGGTGTGATTTCACATGTGACAAAACGAGTGGCTTCATCACATGTGACGAAACGAGTGTCAAGCGAGAAGCCTGATTTTTCCGAAGTTTGCGTCCCGTCGCGGCCCGTTGAAGGGTTTACACGTGACCTCTCCCGTTGCGTGTCTGGCACGTGACCGCTCGTGCCACGTGACAGGCACGTGACCGGCACGCGGCTCTCCCCGTGGTCGCGATCCGCGATCCCGAGAAACGCTTTTTTGCAGCGTGGATGCTCCTTGTTGAATGATGATAAATTCGAAATTCGTTTCATTGCGAAGGTGTGAGGCGGGTAAACTCAACGCTCAAATTTACTTTGCGCAAACTTGGTCTCAAAATGTGACAGCACACTTCTGATTTTTTTTTTGCCAGCTTTCACCGTTCGGTAATAATGTGAAAATCGATTCTCGTTTACGTGCGCTGCGACCTGGCTGCCTTCATTTTCCGATGATCATCAGAGGGATGAGATGCAGATTTTCCGTTCAAAAAATGCGAGGCCGCTTGACATCCAATGGAGGCCGTTCGTGACGAGACGCGTTTCTCCCTCGGACGAGCAAAATCGCGAAGGTGGACGAGGTGATTAAACAGACTCGTGTTTCTTGATGCAACGGCCAACAGAAATGTGGATGAGCCACAGAAATGTGGATGAGCCACAGAAATGTGGATGAGCCACAGAAATGTGGATGAGCCGGTCGTCCGATATCGTCTCCATTTCCATACGTGCGTGTCAATGAACTTCTCGTCTCGAATCAGTGGCGTCTAGTGACGTCACTCGATGACGAGGTGGAGCAATGAGAACGCGGTGCCACAGGCGCCGTCGTCTCGCGGCGGTGCCATTAAAATATCAGGTAGGACGAGCATCTCGAGGCCTGTAGAGAGCTATATATACAAAGGTAGTAGAATTAAATTGCTGTTTACGTTTGACTGAACCAAATAGCAGATACGGGTGTTTAAGCTTGAGTACCAGTCTAGGTACGGATCTACCACTCAACTGGCATGCAAATGGCTCGTCGGAAGAATCCAGCTTTAAAAATAAAAGCCATCGTTCGTACGTCGTAGGCCTACGTGGTTTGCCTCGGTCGATTCGATAATGTCCTCGATGGTTTGCGGGTCAAGTGGAGGTGGAGATACCTAGATGCCAGATATAATGAATGGAAAAACTAGAAAGTACCATCCCAGGTACAGTTCTAGCATTCCACTGGTCCCTGTCCATTCTACTGGATTTATTATATATATATTTACCGCATCCTAACCTAGCTCAGAAAAAAATACATAAATGATGGTTGTCATTGGTTCGGCATAGGCCTATATGAAAAGAGCTGGAAACTAGACATGTACTCGATGGTCCGTGCGTCCGCATCGAGGGAGGACAGTATGAAGCGTAGGATGCCAGATACGGCATTTCACGCGTGCGCCTAGCAACCCTGTCTTCGCGGCCGGGAGCAGCCGCTCTCCTCCATTGTCTACTATGGATCCGTCAACCGCCAGGGCTAGAAGGGAAGTGGATGTTTTCGTGGAAGACGGGCATCCCAACCCAGGCGGAAAGTTGCGCGTGCGCATAAGGTCGTGTCATCCGGTTGCTATGGTTACTACGGACAGACGGAATGAAAAAGACAAAAAAAAAGAATGAAAAAAGTGATAAACCGACCGCAATATTTGGCATTTCCCCAAAGTACCTATGGGAATGAAAAACATTCAACCGGCTTGCATCCATGCATCATGGGTTGAACTTCTCGTGAGAGCTTTCATCCCATTTCATCCTTATTAAGTCATTGGGAGCAGATAGAGAGGTGTTTGAAGGAACCCTTACACCCCCAACAAGAGCGATGAGCCTGAGACCTTGCCAGGTGGGCCCGAAGAACAGGAGGGAAGCCCAGGTTGACCAGCTTTTACATGCTTTCGGGCAGAGCTACTAGTCGACGGGCTGGGGTTCTTTCCAGTGCCGACGGGACCGTGACCCCCATCACAGCTACGAGTGCGACTTTGTGAATGGAATGCATCTGTCGAAGTTCGATCATGAGGTCTAAATCGGGGGAGTCATAAGGCGGTTGGGAGTGGAGATGAGAGCACCTTTTCAATGCGCATGCGCCGTCGAAAGATGCACTGACAAGGCCAGACGTCTTGCCCGGGAATGATCACTTCTTTCCGAGATCATGCGACGGTAGACTGGTTCTCCACAGCAATATTTCCAAGTAATATTCCGTACGAGTCTGAATATAAGAGTCCGTAAAATGTTTTCAAATTAACTCCAATCAATATCCCGGAAAAATTGGAACAGGCGAAAAAAAAGGCCGAAATTTGAACTTGGAGTAAGTCAATTTCTATCTCATAAATTATCACCAGAGCGACGAAAGTCTTTCTCCTTTCAGAAAAGAAACGCAGCAATCTCCAATTCCAATTGTGGCTCCATTACTATGCATGCCTGCTCCCATGAGAGGATTTCCAACTCGTGACCTTTGACCTTCACGACATTTACGAATATTTCGCCCATATTTTTTTCTTGTGAATAAAAAAGAGAATAGCAAGATACGAGAATTTCTCCCGCGGGAAAATAAATGTAGGTTGCACAAATTTTTCTTCTAGATGTAAAGGGTTCTCAGGATTCCTCCAGTTTTCCTTCTCCGCGACCACTTCAGCGGCTCAACGGGTTTCCAAGCCCGTCTCCATGCATCGTCCTTTCCGTTTTATGATGGTCAGTTCGATCGAGTGTTTCTGACGGGTGAGTCACTGAGACAGTGAATCACTGAGTCCCCCGCGATTCACTCGTGATTCATTCGTGACTCGCTCGTGACGATTTTAGATGACATGAACAATATTTGTTTACAAACTAAATGGGCCACATAATGAGACAATATTGATTTCAGAATTTTCTCTCTGCTATGAGGAAGTAAAAAGTCATTTTCCGAGAAAAAATTAAATGCGAGGAAATTACATTCCAATTATGCTCCTTGAAGCAATGAGGTACCATTTCATAGATGTCAGATTCTTCTCAGGCAACGAACACCGTGTATTCAAGTCGCCACGGAACGGAACACAACTAATGAGAGCTGAATTCATGGAAAATTCTCAACGCCCCAGAGCAGCATCAATCCGAGCAAAAGATGATAGTAGCTCCATTGCATGGAAGACGAGAGCGAACCGGCGGGCTTCTCTTTCTTCACATCCGACCCCCTGCAGAGGCGAGCATTCCAATTTACCACCTGAGAGCAATAAAGGTGGTCAACTCGACTAGAAAAACTTGCCAGATGACGCAGCTGTCGACCCCGTTGAACATGAAGTCGTCGGCCTTGCAACCGAAGGTTTTGGCGAAGGCGACGTTGTTGCTCAGGGATCCGTAGACCCTGAACTTGGCCGGACTGTGCACCCCGTTCAAGATCTGGTTCAGCAGATACTCCTCCGTGCTGTGACCGCACCAGTTCTACAAACAGAGGAATATCCAGGAATGCGCAAGGAACACCCCGATTAGAAAATGCGAGAGATCCTCGTACGTAGGCGAAGGTGACGAAGAAGAGTTGCTGAGTCGTGAGGTTGAGACCAGGGAGGGAGGGTTCCGTTCCGTTCCGGTCGATGTGTTTGAGGTAGGCCAGCCAGGCCTCACTCAACCCTCCGTTGTCCGCTATGTTCTCTCCCAGAGTCGCGACACCGTTCACGTGTGAATCTGCAGCGTACAGGAACGGAGATATGAATAATTATTCTACTTAAATATCTAATGAAAAAATTTTTAGAGGCAAGTGTTATCGTGAAGAAAAGTTGCATCTTCAAGCGAACTCTCGGTATCGTGTCTATATGCACTAGGCATATGATCAGATGGAAATCCCTTAGAAAGGTAGAACCCGCTGTATAGTGAACGTACAAAGAGAAAATACTTTTCAACTTCATACTGTTTAAGACACCCGAGAGTTCCGGGACATCGTATCCATTGTATTGATCGATGAAACACTGTGCCCTTCCCACAAAAGCATCGGCCGTCGCATCCGTCCACCAGTTGACCAGGTTCCCATTGGCGTCGTACTGGCGGCCAGAGTTATCGAACCTGGAAATACAGGTAAGCACAAGATGAAACATGTTTGATGCCAGTGGAGCTTCTCGTTCCAGAAGATTCCTAGTTTTCATAGTATTGAAAAAAAAAGCGAGAGTCGTCACGCATCATTTTACCGTGCTTCATGCTATCCTGCTTGATATTACGTGGTAATCTCACTTGCAAATATGAACCGGCATCTAGGAAGGGATTAATCTTCGACAAGTATGACCTACATCGTACGGGAAAAAGAAAGACGAATTCCCAGGACCAGGTCACTTCTGAAGGCCCGCTGGCCCGCTGGCCCACTCTGCAGGCTGTGCTTATCCGCCCCCTGAAAGCCTGCAAGCCTGCCCAAGGCACTTGTCTAAGGTGTCGATGACGGACGGCTCATTCCGAAACCTGAATCGCATTTCAAGAACCGAGGCATTCCGTCTTCTGGAATGCAAGACTGGGGATATTGGCTTGGTGAAGCGAATTCAGGACTTTTATGCGACCCCGGTTTTCCAGACAAACGGAAATTTCGAAGCTTTCGGAGTTTTTTTCCGTTAATTCAGCCTGCATGCATTGCATAATACTTCATCTCCCTTTTATTATCCCTTCGTGGGCTGCATACTGCAAGCATAAATGTTTCAGCGAGGCGAAGTAGTCGCAAATGCCGAATTGCCTCAGAAGAATTCTCCGACATTCATTAATTTTCGAGATGGTATCCCAAAGCGCGTCTGCTGGAAGTAATTGAAATACATATGTTTGAAGGAAAGTTAATTTCAATGTTTCTCATGTATTCATCCATTGTTCACTTAACACTGGAGTCCTATAATGTTCTCCGTACATCCCCTTCCACTCACCCGTGCGTGATCTCGTGCCCGATGACCATCCCGATCCCGCCGTAGTTCATGGCCGCGGGCCTCCCCTGCTGGTAGAACGGACTCTGCAGGATCCCCGCCGGGAAGGCGATGGTGTTCATGCGGGGATAGTAGACGGCGTTCACGACGGTCGGGTGGATGATCCAGGCGTCCCGGTCCACCGCGCCGTTCACGCCGGCCGCCTGTCGCCTCCACGACCAGCCGAGCAGGCTGAGGGCGTTCGATAGGTGACTGGTGTTGCTCACCGAGATCTGCGGAGAGGAAAATGCAGGGAATGCGGACCGTTATGCTCAAAGAAAAATCGGGTATGGCTATTTGCATAATCGTCGGCAAATTATCAAATATTATTCCTCAAGACTCAATCGAATATGATAATTAAAGGTCTTCAAAAAAGAGAGGATACCAGATTTTAAATGGAAATGTAAACCTTGCTTAGGTTTCAATGAACTTGGTTACCATTAACTTTTAAAATTTCTATTTCAACGTCTAAGTTAAAGCGAATCGATTGTCAATCAATTACGCTTGAAATTCGGGCTGGGAAGGCCAAATACCACTCAGAAAAATATTTGGAAGCTCAACCAGACGTTAGAAAATGTGGTCCTAAGTCTATTATTTAATTTACTGTGAACTTCTCCAGCTACCAACCCTTCATAAATAATTTATAATAATATAAATAATTTTTTTTTTTAATGCTGAGAATCAGTATGCATGACGGAAAAAAATCTAATATGACGCGGTCCTCAAGCGCATTCATCGAGAAAACCCTACAGTCGCAGACGCGACGGAACGGCACAGACCCCGTCATAATACTCGGCGAGCTCCTTCGGATCGAGGATGAAATCGGGGTATCCGATGAAGGCCCGAATGGCATCGTTCTTCTCCTTCGCCTTCTTCCTCGTCGCCGCGTCCATCCAGTCGATCGAGTCCAGGATCCCGTCGAACGCCGCCTTCAGGTCCTTCACCAGCTGCTCCACCTGCAAGATCACAATCTTGCTCACTCACCGCAATATGGAGATGGGACGGTCGTTCCCACCGCGGCAAAATGTGCACGTGTGATCCGGAGAAAATTGCGTGGCAGTTCCCATGGGCGGGAGCGCACCAAGTAACTTCGGAGCGATGTGAACTAGGCACAAGTGGATATGTCGCAAGTGAATAAGTCACATGTGAATATGTGTTGCACATGCGTACAGGGCGATTCCCAATACATTTCTGTGAAATGCTCTCATGTGAAAGATCATATGCTTATTTCGACATTCCCATCCCATACACGAGTTCCGAATCAAGACTTAATACATAGCATCAAATATGACACAAACATGACCTTCGCCTTTTGAAGTTCCTTAAACTTCTTCCAGTCCAGTTTAGCGTATATACTCAAATGAGTCCTTATATATCATGTACACGTGACTTCGTTAGGTACTTTGTAAGGGACGGGAAGACTGTTCCTACTTGATTTGTTACACGGTGTAGGTGCCCATGCGATCTTAATGCTCTAATGCAGCGGTTCCCAAACTGTAGGCTGGGAGAGGCATCAAGGTGGGTTGCGTACATATTCCCAGCATTAAAAAAAAACACGATATCCGCATCCGCTCAGGATAAAACATGCCCTGCAGTAAAGGTCGATCAGTTTTCTTCACGTCATAATTACTTTGAAAATGCCTCATTCTGGATTCCTGTAAGTCGCTAAATTTTTTTACATCAGCAAGTGGGTCGCTATTCGCAGAAGTCTGGGAACCGCTTCTCTGGTGTGACTGAATCAAACATCGCTATGACGGACTGACATGGCGAATGTTCCCTTTAAATCCCTCAAATCCGTCTTTTCCAGAAATTCACAAGAGGATATTTCTTGGAAATTTCCATTAAATTAACTTGGGAATACAATCCCGGAGTTTCGTAAACTCCAACGAAAGCCTACTTTGAAGCCTTGCAGGATTCCCCACCAATTTCAACGTCTTGTGAAGGTGACGTCCCTTCCTCGTTGGTGTCCGAGGAAACTCGCTCGATTCATATATTGCAAGACAAAGAAAATGGGGGCATTTTAACCTTTTGTGGCACATAACGGTCGCTGCACTTCACATACTTGTCACATTGTATCCCCATTCTTTATCCCGAAGCCGTAAGGGGTACATACTCGTCCCATGCTATTCAGCTACCAAATGAGCGTGTCACTTCCCTTTTCACCCTCAAACCGATGCCCTGTTGAGTGCGACGGCCTGCGCCACTGTTAATGACATGGTGCGTTCGTGTGTTGACGAGTGACATCCAGAACCAGTTACAGCCTTGCTCGCACCCGATCCCAAGTGATATTTGGTGTGACAGTGTGCGATGTGGCAATTCGCATGGCAATTCGCTTCATGACTTTCACATGAGTCAGCATTATGTGATCGTATGTGACTTTCTCACGAGAAAGGCCTTACCCCCACCCTTCACACCCCACTCTCCACTCCATTCCTACCCCATGCCGTCTCACCTCTTCCTTTGCAGTGGCTGGGAAGGATTCGGAGACGTAGACACTCCCGACGGCCATCCCCATCATGCTGTTCACCAGACTCGCACACACATCCTCCCTAAGAGACCCGAGCATTCTCAAAGAAACAAGCCCTTCTCCGAGCTGAAAGAACTCGCAGTCATAGCCCGTACCTCGCTGGAGGCTCGTTGATCCCCGAGACGATCTTGGAGTAATTGAAGAAGAGATCCCGCATCGCTTCGTTCGTCTCGTCCCCCACCGAGTACACCAGCCGCCAGTGCAGGTAGTTCGCTGGAGGCAAAAAAGGATTACATTTTTCCTCCAAGAAAAAGGAAGGAAAATATAATTTACTGTTTGTTGGCCTGAGATTCATTCCCTTTCCAACGGCGGCACTTCACCCCGTATTACATTTAAGTACTGGGGTATGAGATGCTTACCCCATCCATTATTTTATGGGTACTCCAATCTATGTCGGTTCAAGATAATCCATACACAGAAGCGCACTCAGTGCTTCTGCCAATAAATTACGAAAATTGGCGCTACCACAGACAGCCTTTCCCGACCGAGAATCGCCAGCCCAAACGGGCAGGTCATGGACCGACATCAATTGAAGTACCAATCGAAGATTCAATTCCCTGCGCTAGACGGATTTCTTCCTCACCGATAGTTCTTTTTGAAGTCCGGTTGAGGAGGGCGGCCAGGTCGGACATGAAGTCCGTGGCGTAGCAGACGACCTCGTTGCTGCTGTTCCAGGTCACGTTCGCGCCCGAGAACACAGAGTTCAGGAAATCTGTCCACTTGATCTGGAAAAGGAAAAAATAATAATGGAGAAGAAATAAAGTGATGAAGCACGAGATGAAGCGCTAGATGAAGCATCAGATGCGTTCACAATCGCAGAGGTACAATACAGTCCAAAAAATAAGCATTTGGCAAGCAAAGTTATGTAAAAAAAACTTGAATTCGCCTGGAATTTCGCTTGCGGAAGAGACTCGAGAGGGACTCACGACTCCCGGGGCGCCGGCGTCGGTCGCGTTCTGAAGTTCCGCCAGGCTCAGCCTGTTGTAGCGGGCCGTGGTGTTCCGCCTGTCCGAGCTCGGCACCACGATCTAGGGTTAGCTGGGGTTAGCTGGGGTTAGCTGGGGTGGAGGTTCGCGCGCTGCGGGGATGCATTCCCTGCTTTTCACTTTTTGAAGGGCTAGGTTGCGTTTTGAGCGGATTTCCGTCGCCGTTCGTGCGAATGCCGCGGATGCGGCAGAGTCGCAGCGGGTGGGTGGCGTCGACGACAAAATGCCATTTCGTGATGAG